ACGTTCACTTTCAGATGAAAAAAGTGATCAGTTTTTCATGCTGCATTGTTTCATCAATAGACATATTCATGTTCATCAACAAAATTCATCCAAAAGTGTGTGAGATACGGGGGAAAAGACTAAATACTGTATATTTTACAAAAGACACTAATAGTGTATTTTGAGGGTCTTAATGCATCTGCAAAGGTTTGTTCACTTACTAAGCACTACACATTGTTTAGGAATTTTTATGCATCTGTTCTGTCAAAATGGACCTGAATGCGTTAAGAGGATTAAATAAATATATTAACACAAAATCAAAACTCAAGCTTTGGGATGAATGGCGGCGGTGGGGCGGGTCTTCAGACGCAGGAGCTCAGCGATTGGACGCTTGCTGTCCTGAAAGAAGTCCAGTCCGCTGATCCACTCCACATCTCTGACGCGTGATTGGTGCATCCACAGGAGAGGCTCCGCCCACTGAGACTCTGGCTGATCGTCCTGCACACAAACACGCAAACAGTTTCTCATGTGTCTGTGTCACATAAAGCTACATTGTTTCATTAATTAAGCTTCTGTTTACAGGAAGCATCCTCGTTCATGTCACTGATTCAAGTATGAAACAAAAAAAATTAAGTTTATTCAGTGTTTTCATTATTTTTCCCACATTTACTATTTAGTCAATGTATAAATAAAAATATATAGAAGTAGTTAGTTTCACGGCTTAATCACCGTCACTGAAAAATGAAATAAAAATAATATTGAATTTTTACTTAAATAAATAAATGTAAATAAATACATAAAAATATGAATGAACTGTATAATTTATAGCAATTAAATTGTTATGCATAAATAAACAGCAAAGCTGTTAGTTTTACAGCTTAATGCCAATGAAAACCGAAATATAACAAATAATGAATAATTCATTAAATAAATAAAAAATATTTAAAATTGATTTTATAATCAATAAATAAAAAAATCAATACATGAAAATATAATCATTGAATTGTATAAAATAAATAAATGAAAAATATAAATTAATTGTATAATTTGTATCATTTAAATTAATATGCATAAATAAAACAGAGGTTATTAGTTTTACAGCTTAATGTAACTGAAAAATGAAATCAAACAAATAATGAATTATTAAATAATCATTTATAATATTTTATATTTTTATTGAATAAAAAATGAATGGATTGTCTATAATAAATATAATCAATGAATTGTAATAAATTAAATTAATATGCATAAATAAAACAGCGAAGATGCTAGTTTTACAGCTTAATGTCACTATATATACACTGGGTACGGAAAGTATTCAGACCCCCTTAAATTTTTCACTCTTTGTTATATTGCAGCCATTTGCTAAAATCATTTAAGTTAATTTTTGTTCCTCATTAATGTACACACAGCACCCCATATTGACAGAAAAACACAGAATTGTTGACATTTTTGCAGATTTATTAAAAAAGAAAAACTGAAATATCACATGGTCCTAAGTATTCAGACCCTTTGCTGTGACACTCATATATTTAACTCAGGGGCTGTCCATTTCTTCTGATCATCCTGGAGATGGTTCTACACCTTCATTTGAGTCCAGCTGTATTTGATTATACTGATTGGACTTGATTAGCAAAGCCACACACCTGTCTATATAAGACCTTACAACTCACAGTGCATGTCAGAGCAAATGAGAATCACGAGGTCAAAGGAACTGCCTGAAGAGCTCAGAGACAGAATTGTGGCAAGGCACAGATCTGGCCAAGGTTACAAAAAAAAAATCTGCTGCAGCAAAGGGTCTGAATACTTAGGACCATGTGATATTTCAGTTTTTCTTTTTTAATAAATCTGCAAAAATGTCAACAACTCTGTGTTTTTCTGTCAATATGGGGTGCTGTGTGAACATTAATGAGGAAAAAAAATTAACTTAAATGATTTTAGCAAATGGCTGCAATATAACAAAGAGTGAAAAATTTAAGGGGGTCTGAATACTTTCCGTACCCACTATATATATATATATATATATATATATATGAATAATGAAGACATGAATGCTATTTTAAGGTACTAATATGATGTGGTATCAAACAGTAAATGTTCCTACGCTCATTTAGTTGAACATTAAAAAAAGTCACATGACTTCAGAGAAGGTTTGACCGATGATGTGAATAAAGACTAAATGAACAAACTGAATCATTCTGACTGTGATTTACATTGAATCAGCAAAAATAACCAAATGTAAGGATTTGAGTGACGAGGGATTCAGAGAAACCACAGCAGTCATGCTTTCAGATGTGTGTGACAGCGACAGGAACAGGAAGTGTGAGTGTGACACTCACGGCACAGCTCTCCATGTTGTCGCTCCTGTGCGGAAGCAGGAAGGAAACCGTCTGAAGTTCAGCGGAACATTCGCTCACCGTCTGTGTGTCGTTCTTACAGCTCGTCAGGACCACAAAATAATGAGTGGGAACAGGAATAGACGAACCTGCAACGAACCTAAAAAAAATAATAATAACAATTTTTTTTTACTTCTGTACTGTGATGTACATCCCATGATTATTGTAAACTAAAACTATTAAAAACATTTTTGTTAACTGAAATAAAGCTAGAATATATATTGTATTATTATAGAATAAAATATACTAAAATGTGAAATAAATTTAAGTTGAAGCGATTACTAACTGGAAAAAATAAATAAATAAATAAATAAAATGGAACTAAAAATAAAACAGAAAATAATAATTTGATAATATAAAAATCAAAGCTAATTCAAAACATTTATTAAAAAACTATAATATAAATATAATTGTATACACACACACACATATATATATATATATAATACCAAAATTACACTGTAGAGAAACAGATTATGGAAAAAGAATAAAATGTAGGGTGGGAGAATCAAGAAAACAGGAGTACGCACTCCTGGATCTGCTCTGGAGAGTCAAAGCGTCCATCAAAGTTGTAGTCATACACTGGGCCGGTAACCACGTTAATACCGTTATACTGAGATGTGTATTTGAGCAGCAGAACCTCCTGAAAATACTGCCAGAGTCCTGCACAAACACACAAGATCAGTGACCAAATCCACATGAAAACATCATGTAAACACTCACGATTCAAATACTCATGACTCAAAGGTTCACGGCTCAAACACTTGTAACTCAAACACTCATGATTCAAACACTCAGTACTCTCACAATTCATTCACAACATATAAACACTCATGATTCAAATACTCACAATTCAAACAAACACTTAGCATTCAAACACTCATGGTTCCTACACCACATATAAACACTCATGATTCAAATACTCAATACTCTCACAATTCATTCATAACATATAAACACTCACAATTTAAACAAAAACCTAGTAATCTAACACTTACGATTCAAACACACATGGTTCAAACACTCATGACTCAAACACTCACGATTCATATACCACATATAAACACTCATGACTCAAACACTCACGATTCGTATTCCACATATAAACACTCATGACTCAAACACTCACGATTCGTATTCCACATATAAACACTCATGACTCAAACACTCACGATTCGTATTCCACATATAAACACTCATGACTCAAACACTCACGATTCGTATTCCACATATAAACACTCATGACTCAAACACTCACGATTCGTATTCCACATATAAACACTCATGACTCAAACACTCACGATTCGTATTCCACATATAAACACTCATGACTCAAACACTCACGATTCGTATTCCACATATAAACACTCATGACTCAAACACTCACGATTCGTATTCCACATATAAACACTCATGACTCAAACACTCACGATTCGTATTCCACATATAAACACTCATGACTCAAACACTCACGATTCGTATTCCACATATAAACACTCATGACTCAAACACTCACGATTCGTATTCCACATATAAACACTCATGACTCAAACACTCACGATTCGTATTCCACATATAAACACTCATGACTCAAACACTCACGATTCGTATTCCACATATAAACACTCATGACTCAAACACTCACGATTCGTATTCCACATATAAACACTCATGACTCAAACACTCACGATTCGTATTCCACATATAAACACTCATGACTCAAACACTCACGATTCGTATTCCACATATAAACACTCATGACTCAAACACTCACGATTCGTATTCCACATATAAACACTCATGACTCAAACACTCACGATTCGTATTCCACATATAAACACTCATGACTCAAACACTCACGATTCGTATTCCACATATAAACACTCATGACTCAAACACTCACGATTCGTATTCCACATATAAACACTCATGACTCAAACACTCACGATTCGTATTCCACATATAAACACTCATGACTCAAACACTCACGATTCGTATTCCACATATAAACACTCATGACTCAAACACTCACGATTCGTATTCCACATATAAACACTCATGACTCAAACACTCACGATTCGTATTCCACATATAAACACTCATGACTCAAACACTCACGATTCGTATTCCACATATAAACACTCATGACTCAAACACTCACGATTCGTATTCCACATATAAACACTCATGACTCAAACACTCACGATTCGTATTCCACATATAAACACTCATGACTCAAACACTCACGATTCGTATTCCACATATAAACACTCATGACTCAAACACTCACGATTCGTATTCCACATATAAACACTCATGACTCAAACACTCACGATTCGTATTCCACATATAAACACTCATGACTCAAACACTCACGATTCGTATTCCACATATAAACACTCATGACTCAAACACTCACGATTCGTATTCCACATATAAACACTCATGACTCAAACACTCACGATTCGTATTCCACATATAAACACTCATGACTCAAACACTCACGATTCGTATTCCACATATAAACACTCATGACTCAAACACTCACGATTCGTATTCCACATATAAACACTCATGACTCAAACACTCACGATTCGTATTCCACATATAAACACTCATGACTCAAACACTCACGATTCGTATTCCACATATAAACACTCATGACTCAAACACTCACGATTCGTATTCCACATATAAACACTCATGACTCAAACACTCACGATTCGTATTCCACATATAAACACTCATGACTCAAACACTCACGATTCGTATTCCACATATAAACACTCATGACTCAAACACTCACGATTCGTATTCCACATATAAACACTCATGACTCAAACACTCACGATTCGTATTCCACATATAAACACTCATGACTCAAACACTCACGATTCGTATTCCACATATAAACACTCATGACTCAAACACTCACGATTCGTATTCCACATATAAACACTCATGACTCAAACACTCACGATTCGTATTCCACATATAAACACTCATGACTCAAACACTCACGATTCGTATTCCACATATAAACACTCATGACTCAAACACTCACGATTCGTATTCCACATATAAACACTCATGACTCAAACACTCACGATTCGTATTCCACATATAAACACTCATGACTCAAACACTCACGATTCGTATTCCACATATAAACACTCATGACTCAAACACTCACGATTCGTATTCCACATATAAACACTCATGACTCAAACACTCACGATTCGTATTCCACATATAAACACTCATGACTCAAACACTCACGATTCGTATTCCACATATAAACACTCATGACTCAAACACTCACGATTCGTATTCCACATATAAACACTCATGACTCAAACACTCACGATTCGTATTCCACATATAAACACTCATGACTCAAACACTCACGATTCGTATTCCACATATAAACACTCATGACTCAAACACTCACGATTCGTATTCCACATATAAACACTCATGACTCAAACACTCACGATTCGTATTCCACATATAAACACTCATGACTCAAACACTCACGATTCGTATTCCACATATAAACACTCATGACTCAAACACTCACGATTCGTATTCCACATATAAACACTCATGACTCAAACACTCACGATTCGTATTCCACATATAAACACTCATGACTCAAACACTCACGATTCGTATTCCACATATAAACACTCATGACTCAAACACTCACGATTCGTATTCCACATATAAACACTCATGACTCAAACACTCACGATTCATATTCCACATATAAAAACTCACGACTCAAATACTCATGACTCAAACACCATATTTAAACACTCACAACTCAAACAAACACTCAAGATTAAAACACTCACGATCCAAACAAACAAACAAACAAACACTTACTAATAATAAACTCACAACTCAAACACTCACTCTTGAACTGTGGGAAGACGGGCACCACGTTTCCAAGTGTCAGAGCATCAAACTGATCTTCAGACGTGCGGTTCAGATCTGACAACACAAACACATTAAACACACACAACTTCACTTTTTTATTGGGTTTTATTGTTAACTAAAACTATAATAAAATAATATAAAAATATTCGAACTTATTTTTACTTAATGAACAAATAAAAAAATACATGAAAAAAATAAATGAAATTAATATGCATAAATAAAACACTGAGGATAATGCAACTGAAAAATGAAATTATTAAATAAATTTTTACTTATGTATTGTTAAGTACATCCCAGAGTTATAGCTATATTAATATAATATGAATATTAAAATAATATACATAAAATGTGAAAAGTTGCATAGGCAACTAACTGCAATAAATTAAGCACACATGCACACACACACTCACTGGGTGGGAACAGGAAGACGTGTGTGATGTTGCCAGCGTTGTTGAACTGTTCACATGTCGCGCTCTGATTGGCTGGAATCCTGATGTCTGCCCGGAGACAATCTGAGATGACCGGAGAACTTTCAGCCTACAAACACACATGTTCAGTTTGTCATTAGAACCAGATCTGAGCATGTTCAGCTGAAGACATGAGTCACATGTTAGCATGTCCTGGCTGGTTGCTAGAGTGTTGCTATGCCACTGTTGCAGTATGTGTATGTGTGTGCATCTCACGGTTTTGTCGAGAGTGAAGGAGCTCCAGACAGGCGTGTGGGTGAGTGTGCTGTAGGCCGTGATGAATCCGTGTTGATGCAGGACACAGTATTTAGCGTCAGACTGTAGAACCCGCGGACGGCCGAACAACATGTGTCGCCTCTCACTCTCAGCCACTGCACACACACACACACACACACACACACACACAGAGTCCGTTATGATCAGCTGTTTAGCAGGTGACTGACACAGAATGTCAAAGACTTCCTGCTGAACTTTATCAGCTCTGGTCTGAGTAATCGTGACTCTCACAGCTTTCAACATCATGTAACCTCAATGTTATCTCAACAGTGCTCCTACACGCTGACACGAGTTTGATAAGTCCTGCCCAGTCATCTTACACAGTCACTTCTTGATTTTCTACACACCAAACTTTCCCTATCAGCAGGTGACCAGAGGAGAAACACCAGCGTCATGGGTTTGATTCCTAGGGAACTGAAAAGATATGCCAAAAGCATCAGTGTAAATGTAAATAAGCCGGTCTAATGGACCAAATCATTTACATTGATGCACGTGGCAGATGCTTTTATTCAAAGCGACTTCATGGTTAACATTTGATCAGTTCATGCATTCCCTGGAAATCAAACCCATGATTTTGTTGTTGCAAATGCTATTTAATCTACGGGAATGCCTGCAATAACAGTCACTAGTTTACTGCAGCATGTGAACTTCCACAGAAGTCTATATCACAGAAGACTGTTGGTAAAGGCTTTGAGTTTGAAGCATGTCATGAACTTCTGCTATACGGCGTCACATGGTCAACACACATGTGCGATGTTAATGAATGAAACCTGCTGTTATGAAACAGACGTGTGTGAGAGAAAGAGTTTCAGGAACTCTCCAGTGTGTGGGAACAAACTTCACCTTCAGTGTTCCTTTCGACAGCAAATTTGGACTTATGTAGCTGCCAGTAGTTTACTGTATTTAACAGTGAATTTTTTTTACAGTAGGCAATGCTACAGTTCAAATGTTGGGATCTGACCTCCTAACCACGCTGGAGATTCGATCTGACTGGATCTCTTCCCAAATCGTCCCTCCCTAAATGTCAATAGATTTTCGTCATAGTTTTTGTCATTCAAAACAAGTTTTTATTTTGTTATCGTCTCGTTTTTGTCGGTGAAAAAATGTTGACGAAAATGATTTGTCAACAAAATTAACACTGCTCACCTTCAGCATCAGTGAGATTCAGACGCGCGTTGATGTCACTTCCACTCTGAAATACACACACACACACACACACAGAGCTAGATTAGTGGAGATATGAGGACACAAATTTGTATAATGACATGGGTATGACATAAGTATTACAAGGAGAAGGTGACTTATGAGGACATTACCCCATGTCCCCATTTTTTACCCCAGGGGTAGGTTTAGGGGTAGGTTTGGTGTAGAGCGATAGAAAATACAGTTTGTACAGTATAAAAACCATTACGCCTATGGAGAGTCCCCACAATTCACAAAAAACAAACATGTGTGTGTGTGTGTGTGTGTGTGTGTGTGAGTGAGTGTGTGTGTGAGTGAGTGTGTGTATGTGTGAGTGAGTGTGTGTGTGAGTGTGTGTGTGTGTGTGTGAGTGAGTGTGTGTGTGAGTGAGTGTGGGAGTGTGTGTGTGTGAGAGAGTGAGTGGGTGAGTGCGTGTGAGAGAGTGAGTGGGTGAGTGTGTGTGTGAGAGTGTCAGTGTTTGTGTGTGAGTGTGTGTGAGTGAGTGAGTGGGTGAGTGGGTGTGTGTTTGTGTGAGTGGGTGAGTGTGTGTGTGTGAGTGTGTGTGTGTGTGTGTATGTGTGAGTGTTTGTGTGTGTGTGTGAGTGTGTGTGTACCAGTGCAGTGCAGCTGCAGCCCAGTGTGTGTGTGGGCTCCAGGCTGGTGATCGGGCACTGCTCCGGGCCGCTCTGCTCTGTCGGGTGACTGGGGCTGTAAACCGACATCCGCAGCAGGTGGTTCAGACTCCC